GTAATTTCCACCATTTACGACGATGTGTAAGCGACACACAGTACCGATTTTGGGCGTTTTGGGGGTGTTTATCCTTCCCCACACGTAACCGACTCCCGAATCCATTTTAATTGAATCTTTGGTAAACGCAGACTATTTTTGTCTTAAAAATGATCTTTCTTAAAATTGTTTTAAAAGACGTTTTTAGGTATTCGGCCTACCTAACCCAAAGGTCGATGGCGACTCTATTCAATTTAATTCAAATTAATTTCAAATCACCAATTTTTCCAAAATAAAGTCGTAATCTTTTTTTAAAATAATATTTAATTGTTTTACAAAAAAAATGGTTATGACAGTTGCTATAACTGATTAAACACACTGCTCGGTGGCTTTGCTTTAATTTCATCAAGGGTGGCTTCACTTGATGTGGCCTTTATTTCTGTTAAACAAGATTCTTAGAACAGACGGAGAAGACGAAAGAAAACAATGGGGATCACATGAAAGTGGCAGCCGGATGCTGCCTTTTTGAGCTGCCATCTGATAATCGAACTGGTCGTGAGGCAGCAATGCCTCAATCACATTATGTTCAAGTGAGTGCATTAGTATTTGTGGAATTCTATGATTAGAATTTGTTTGTTTAAACCGTAGTTTGGTGTTTTAGGTTCCGCATATTAACCAGCTGTTCTCTTGGGATTGTGGACTTGCTTGTGTTTTGATGGTTTTGACTACTGTCGGCATTAATAGTTATAGTATTCAGAACTTGATCGAGCTTTGCAGCACAACCAGGTATGCTGTCATTACAAAGTGGGAGAAGAATTATATAAGATCATGGAAATTTGGATTTGATGTACACCCGTACTATTTTATTCCATCTTTAAGATGGCTGCATTTAGATATATAAGTTGATACAAGCCATTTCTGATGAATACTTTTGTTGACATCTTGTATGCAGCATTTGAACTGTTGATCTGACTTACTTACTGCAAAAGTTTTCTGTTAGGTTTTCCTATTACACTGTAACATTTGGAGCTAACCCAAACTACTCTCGGGAGACATATTACAAGGTAACTTAACCTTTTTTCCATGTGCATCTTCATAATTACTTTTTGTCTATATTTATTGGGTTTTTTCTTGGTTACAAAATCGATGATCAAGTTTCACATTAGCATGCTTGCTTATTGCTTCAAGCTATGTACCATAATCTTTATCATTGAAATTATATGCATGCCATATTAACTGTTAGATATCGTGCGATTTTCCATTTAGCTTTTGGCTTTGTGGATCTAACCAGCTGCGTAATGTCTCTTTATGACTACACAGCAACTTGAATAAGTGGCACACTGCTTTATTTTCATTGGTTTTCATCTTTGGAAGGAAATTACATCTGGAAGATTTTCTGTGGGGTTTCCCTCCTTTCCGTCCTATTCCTCATTCTAGTAGTTTAGTTTCAGGACGTCGTCGTCTCATTATGTTTCCATGATTTATCTTTTTCAGTTGAATAAATTTTCATATGAATTCTTCTATCATAATGATCAAAGGAATCACTTGAGTATTCTGCAGGAACATCTACCTAGTGATCTGGTTCGAGTAGATAAGCTATTCCAAAAGGCAGTGGAAGCAGGGATCAATAGACTGGTATTTATCCCAGAGCATGTTTTCTTTTTTCCCTTTGAATTAAATTGTTAGAGGTTAGAACACATATTCTTACTGCAGTTTGATCGCTTTTGTTTCCTTTGAAATATTTATAGCCAGTATTTTATCTTCAAACTTAAATGAATTCTTAATACTGAACGTCTCTTGTTAATTTCAATAAAAAATTTAATTCAAAAGCCTTGTTTCCGTTGAAATATCAGCCCCTCTTTCCCTGTATGACATAGTGTGGACGGTCTTTGTCACAATTTAACTTTTTCATTGGGGTTTTGAACTGCCCCCATTTTACAGTGCAGGTCAATCAGCAAAGAAGAAATCTCTCGCTGGATCATGTCAGGGAAGTATATTGTGATTGCTTTGGTTGATCTGTGTAAATTGAGGTATGTATTCATATTTCTTAGAACTTTTTGCCTAGTTGGTTGCTACTATACAACTTGTTCTGTTTTCTTCAGATTCTGAAATGAAGCAGTCCTCATTTTTAACGTGTCTGGTTGCGTGTGTTTTCTATTTCCTCTTTTATATGCCTGTATTTGAGCAGGGATTATACAAAGGGTTAAGTTCTTGCATGATAATAACTGATTTCTTCTGTCAAAATCTTGCATTGCAGTGGATCTTGGGTTGGGGATGTCATCATCCCTGGATTTCATGGCAATGATGCAGGATACACAGCTTAGTGTTGCATTCTTGCTTTTAGAATTTTGTTTTTTGTATACAAGTTGAAAATTTAAATCAAAATGCTAATAATGAGTATATATCCTTGATACTCTATGTTTGAATAACAAACAGTTTCCTGTTTAGCAATGCTTTGTTAGGCAAATAAACATATGCTTGTGGATGATTTTCTTGAACACTGTCGAGCCTGACTCATTCTGATAATATGTTTATGTTATGTTATCACCTTATATAAATGTGAAAGTGGAAGTTGCGTAGTTCCCTTGGCATATTGTTGCTAACTAAATTTGTAATTCTTCTGCCTATAAACTTTTTGCTTGGGATTGCAAATATTCATTCCATGTTTTAAGTATTAATTCAAATACTACTTAACATAAAATCGATGATTATGAACTCTTGCAGGATGAGTTGCAGCATCTATGAACTGCAGAATATGATTTAGTTAATAACAGATGGATCATAGTAGTAACAAGATTTCTCTTCCGTTGATCAATCTTTTTTCTGCTCAGCTAAATTCTAGTGTTGTTATATATTGTCCATGAACTTATACAATCTTTCACATTTGATCACATTATTGAGAAATTTGCTCTTGTTGTAGGTCATATGTTGTGATATGTGGCTAGAGATCCTGCAAATTCTAGGTACTTCCTAAGCTTTCTTTTTCACTGCTCAACTGCTTCCTGCTACGTTTGTTATATAATCTCTTTTTGTTTGTTCTGTTCAAGGTCATATAATCATTTTAAATAATAAGGTCGTCATCGTTGCTTCGTTTTACCAGTAATGTTCATAAATGAGCATGTCCAGAAACATACAGCAGCAAACACTAGGAAAGTATGCCATGATGCACTTTCCAGACATTTTAATGCCAGGATCTATTATAGAAAATGCAAAAATTCGACTTTTACTGGGAAATTAACTAACAATTTAAGATTCAGGATACTGGTTTACAAATAAATCTGAAGTTATCAAACAATTTTAATCTTTTTCATGTCGTAATTTGGTAGTTGGAGCAATAGATTTGGTGTCCATAAAATTTATGAAGATTTTGGACCCTTGTGGATGACTCGAGACATATGTTACTCGGAATTGAGTGTGAATGTCATATATGTGCATGTGCTCAGCTTTTGGGTGCATTCTATTCTCTTTTTCTTTTCCCCCAAGTTTTTCCATGTATTTAGAGTGTCTATGGAGGATCACATTCCCATACGGCCATAGAGAACGAAGATTCAGATCAATATAGCTGGAGACTTCAGTGACCAAGCTGTTCGATATATCCTAGCCTCCCAGTTTTCTTACATCTTCTGTCTCCTTATAGTTATCATTCCTCAAAGTCAGTTTCCTCTGCTACTTCTTTGAGACTATTGTGTTGTTTTCAGCCCATATTATAAAAAAAAGTATTTGTATCCTAATTACATGCATTATTATCATGTGAAAAACTTTCCGATTTTCATGTGTTCCATGCATCTTCTTGTTCTCTTTAACTGAATGTTTCAATCGAGTTTCATTAACATCTATTTTGATCTCCCATTGGCTAAATGTATTTATAGGTTGGAAGTTGGAACCTTGTGGTTACTGATAGATAGTTGGTCTAACAGCTACGGATGAGAGAAGAGCATATTTGGAAAGATGTATTAAGCTACACAGTGTTCATATAACTGATTTAATTAAATTTGCATGTGTCGTATTAGCGATGTTTCACTTGATGTTAATTCAACTCCACAGCCTTGTTCTTCAGAACTTGTTTGATCTTATGCTAGAAGCGTAAACATGAGAAACAATATGTGCAGGAAACACAACAGGGTCTCATCGAAGTCCCTTGAAGAAGCACGTAAGTCCTTTGGTACCGACAAAGATCTTCTTCTGGTAATTTTTCTATAGCACAATAAAACCTCTGCCTCTACTATGTTGCTGCATTATAGTACTCTATTAGTGTTATTTTGTTGAAATGATTTTCCAAAGTATTTAATAGAATAAATCCCATGCATGAGTCTCCCTCCATCCTTTCAAGTACGAAGCTTTTCTTTCGCCAGTTGCCCAGAGTTAGGGGTATCATATTTAGTTCATGAAGATACTTGATGGCTACAAATGTAGTATACAAATGTCCTTAAAAACAAAAGTTTAAATCTGAAGGTTACAATAGCCTAGATGCCATGTAAACCGAGTTAAAATTTTTTCCAGGGTACATCAAACTTTGCATGAGATAAACCGAAATGTATTCTTGCCTAGCATTATCCATCCCTTGTTTGATCGTTGCTACATTTCTATGTAGATATCAGTTGACGAGAGCCGGAAACAGAACTACACCATATTGTGATTTTCTCCGATTAGTCTTATATGTATAGCGCCTGATATTCTTCATCTTCATCAAGCTGGTTTCATCATTTTCTGCAGTACACATATTTTTCAAGATTGTGTATTATAAGCTGTCGGAAAGTTGCTTTACTTCGTGTCATAGAAGAACAATTTGGTGGTTCTAAGCTGCAAATCATGCGCATCTGTAAAATAATTTGTTCATTTTGTATATGAACTGTACATTATAATGTATTTGTTGTATAATAGAAATTGTGTATTCTGTATCTCTTCCATATTGTTAAAGTTGGCATCTTGCTTGTACCAAGATTGTTTAAACTCTACTCCTTATCAACAATATCATATCAATAAAAAAACACAGAATTTGATAACATTCTTGTTGTGTGGAACTAAATCCCACAAAAAAAAACAAACATAAATCGTTACAAAAGTTACTGAAGCCGTAGATAGTAATGTAAACAACATGCTGATTAAGGAATAATTATAGCTTGTGTGAGATATGGATTGCAATCATAAATCAAGAGACATCAGTCCACTTCTTGATCATCATCACCATCTAAAACAAAAACGACCCTTTCGCTACAAGCTATCACGATGGTATGTCGAAGTGAAAGAGCCAAGAGATTACAAAGGCAAAGACCATACAAGCTAGTAGCAAATTCAGAAACCGATGGCCCTGCCACAAGTTTCTCAATTCCGTGCCACGAATTGCAGCAGGAGCTGCTGCAGAATCATTTGAATCGTTCCATTGTTCTGTCATCTCCGTCTCGTTCGGACCAGCAACATTCGAAGCAGTTGATCCACAAATCTCACAAATTCTGGGAAAACCATTGTAACCATAGAAACAAACGTAACGTAACAAAATAAATAGGACATCGAGGCAAATAACATAACGTTGATTCCATCTTTTGTTTTTATACGTATAAAGTAATGTTTGATTCCCCTAATTCCCAGAAAGACTATACATCCAGAAGAATAAATCATGCCAATAATGAAAAAACACTAGCAAAACATTCCAGATTTTTTTTTAAAAGAAGATTACCTGTTTCCCTTTATTTTGAACCAGGCCTCGGCACACTGTTTATGGGCAGCAGCCAAATCATCTTTACAAGAACATCCCAACTCTATAGGCAAATCGCATTCTTGATTAATGGGGTCCAAGCTGAGATGGCAAATCCTGCAATCTCTCTCCACGTTTTCCAAATGCAGCTTGGTTCCAGCCTCCAGATCCACTTCCTCTGACGAAACCGAAGATCCCCTCTCATTGATCGTCCTAGATTTTGCTTCATTCAAACAAGACGAGGAACACCTTCTTCTGTTTTCCTCGTTGTCTGTCTGGTTTGCTTGCCCTTCTTCTCTTCCTCCATCGTCAATGCCGATGACAACGACGACCCCCTGAGTTTGTTTTGGTAAAGTTTCCATCTTTAAGACCCAGACTGTGTATCATCCATGTAAAATGTTCTCGGCACACAGAGACCGTCAAATGTCTCTCAGCTCATTTACACATCGGAGTAAAATATCAGTCGAAAAATAAGCTTTTTATGTTAGATACTGAACAACAACAAAGGTAACAATGTTTTTAACTTTTTAAAGTGTGCCAGTGAAGTCTTGCAACTGATTTCTCTCTCTCTCTCTCTCTCTCTCTCGTGTTTGTCAGTTCAGTATAAGACATGGAAGAAAGATAAGAGAAAACATTATTGAAATGTGCAAGAAAAAATGTAGAAAAAAATGGTATTCTTGCTATTTCCTGTTTTTGATTGCTACAGTCGGTTTAACTGCGCCATGGAAATAGGACAGGACAGCCTAAGAATTTGGTAAGAGAGAAGGGGTCCAGTTTTTTTTTTGGTCTGAAAAGTCGAAATTATCCAATCTTTTTTGGTCTGGAAAGTCGAAATTATCCAATCTTTTTTGGTCTGCAAAGTAGAAAATTTACAGTGTAGGAGGGTGTTCCAGGGATCCTGAAAATAAGGTGGGACTTTGTTGATTAACAGCTACTTTCATATTCATTCATGTTCATTGGGTGTTTTCTTTCTTCAATATATTGAGTTTATGCCTGATTTTTGCATTCAAATTATGTATTTACATCTTTAATTTTTTTAGATTTTTAATCTTTCACTAATTAAATGTCATCCACTAATTACTTTAAAGGAGCTAATTTTGCACTTTGGAGTAATTTAAATTATTCAAATTCAAGTTGTGGTTTTTATAAATATACTTTTAAGGAAAAACATCTTTATTATTAGGTTCGTTTAATTAGTTCATTAATATTTTTTTTGTTACACAAAAGTTTAAGTCATGAGTGGTTCCCTTAATTCAGGTCAGAGCATATTTAAGACTCAATTGGGATTTATATAAGATTTTATTACTAGGTGTCAACACACATTTTCGTCCTACTAGGATTCAAACTCCTAAAAATAGGATATAATTTTGCTAAGATTCAAACTCCTAAAAATAGGATAGAGTTCTACTATGATTTAAAGATAGGATCCACAAGCATTATAAATAGCCATTGTAACTCACTATTGTAACAGCGAAGAGAGATACAAAATACCAAGAAAAAAAATTACAAGCAACTCGTAGCCATTTTTCGAAGCATTTATATTTTGAAAGGTAAAGTTCATACCTTCGCATGTTATTTTTCCTTACCCTTGTTGTGTTTTGATTCGAAAGAAAATCGAGAGAAGTGTTTTTGGCCAATGAACGGGGCGTTTTCGAGATCTATTTTTGTAGATCTAGCCCCCGAGGCTTGTGTTTTTGAAAAACTATTCGGATTTTTATAAACGGGTTGTGTGGATCCGCGTGTTTTGCCTCTACGGTGGGTTAATGCCCATTTCGGTCCCTCTGATTTTAAATACACGCAGATTCATTTTTTTCTTCGATTGCTTTTAATTTCGACCCCTAATTCATTTTTTATTTTAATTTAACCCTTATTATTTATATGTATATATATATATATATATTTTATTTATTTATTTATTATAGTTCTCTTTTCTTTTCTTTTTTTTGCGTTATATTATATTATTTTCCTATTATTATATATATATATATATATATATATTATTATTATTTTATTTATGTTTACTTATTTATTATGTTTTTTACTATATTTTCCTAACGTTATATATATATATATATATATATATATATATATATATATATATATATATATATATATATATATATATTCTTACTTCATTTTATTTTATATTTCTATGATTACTATTTTTTAGTTAATATTATATGTATATTTATTTTTCATTTATTTATTATTATTATTACTATTTACTATTTTATTATATTATACATACATTTTTATATTTTTATATATTTTTATAATGTTTTATTTTATTTATATTATTTATTTATTTTCATTATGTTTTTAGTTTCTTTGCTCTTATTATTATTTTTATTTTTTTTTAAAAACATTTTACCTTTTTTATTCTTTTTGTATATATATTTTATCTTCATTTATTTTATTTTATTTTATTCAATTTCATTTTTTTATATTTTTTTATATTTGTTTCATCCAATTATTTTATGTTTATTATTATTGGTTTCATTTATTTCCTTGGTTTACTCTTTAGTTTTGTTACTTTCTTTTATTATTATTATTTTCTTTTAACATCTTATTTTAATTTTTTATTCAATTTTACCTTTTAATTTAACTTGCAATTTTCTTAATCAAAGACAACTGGAAATTACGTAGTACCGAAAGGGCGGTTCAAGGGTGTTAATCCTTCCTTGACCGTAACCGACTCCCGAACCCGACACATCTTTGGAAAGACGCAGATCAGGTAAGAAATAGGGTATCCGATCAACCTATTTGTTTTAAAATAAATGATCGGTGGCGACTTCAATCCACATTTTTCTAAGTCGAAGCTTAATTCCGGGCCCAATCGAAAGACGGTTACGACAGCTTGGCGACTCCACTGGGGATAGGTAAGTGAGTCAGGCTAAGGTAATTTCCAGTTGTCTTTTTAACGAAAAGGGTAAGTTTGAATTTTAAGGTAATTTTTTTATCCTCATTACTTACTTTTGATTACATTTTCGAGTAAATAGTTGTACTGACTGTTTTCTAATGATTTCAACTTTCCAAACTTTTTCATCTAAAGGCTCTATACTCGAGCTCTGAACCCTATTTAAGTGGGGGTAAAAGCGACGCCTTCGTGTGAATTTATTCTCCGTATGGGCCTAGCAAGTAACCTTCGGGATTCATATACCTTATGCCTTCGTGTGAATTTATTCTCCGTATGGCCATAAGGGAATGTATCCTCCCGAGTTTAACTTAATTCACACAAGCCTGTGATGGGTTTAGGACTAAGGGTCTGGCAAGCCTAAGGGGGCACCAGCAAGGAGAACTCGGGTACTGTTTTTTTAGCACCTAAACCGGGAGACCATGGAGAATTAGAGCCCACCCAAAACCTTATTCCAAACCCTAGGCTGCTTTGTTTCCTGCTTTATTTTATGTTCAAAGCATGCGAACTAGACACATATGTTGTTAGGATTTGTTTGAAATTAGCATGCGGGATAGAGATCATGTCCGGGTAAGAATAATAAGCATGTGGGGTAGGACGTTTCATTTTCATCATTTTTTTACTATTATCCTTATCTCACTAACTTTTTTCTTTCATTGTTGCTCTTTGGCATTTTTTTATTATTTGCATCATTCGAAAGAGGTGTTGATCCACCAAAAGTGTGTTTGTTAAACATGAATAATCTGCATTAATGGACAAAGGGGTTGTAATACAAGAGATGAAAATACAGAGGATAGTCTACAAGGCGACTATGTGTCACATTCAATCCAGAAGATGTGGTACCCGTAATCAAACAATATGTCACTCTGCTGCATTATAAAGGACTCGGAATGAACCGAGTCTACATCAAGCACAATGAAAGCTTATCTTTGAAGAACTGACTGGAAGAGGTTGTAGGGGCAAGATGAATGATATGTATCTTGGAAGTCCTTTAAACACAACAATGGCAAAATGATAGCTGAAATTGGAGACCATTGATGGCGAATTCAAGAAACAGACTAATGAATTTCACATAGTTCCTATCAATTAAGGGCTTCAATGACGAATTCGTTGGGAACAGGCTCAACAAAAGTAAATGCTCGAGATGCGGTCATTCGAGACTTCTTGGACCAGTACAAAAAAATAACTCAACATTTTCACGGTTCATCCAGAGAGGCCGGAGCGGTTCGACAAGTTATTCAACCGGTGAAAGACGAAAGCAGAAGACTAGTCAACATGTCAGAAGCTGTCAGGATATTTTTGTCTCTTAAAAGATAAAATATTTTTGTCCCCAATAAGGATTATTCATAATAACAGGTACATTTCTTGGATCAATGCCTCGAACATTTCATGCATTCTTGCATTTTTGCATCTTCATCTACATTTTTAAGCACTTTCATAAACATGAAATTAAGTCACGGAGGATTCGATGAAGTGGTCTTAACCACATGACACCACATAGAAGCAAGTGAAATAATTAAAGAAAAAATTGAAATCAGTACAGTGGGAGCTGGATCAGCTGATTGTAGGACTAAGCCTGCCAGGATGATCTGAGAAAAGAGTACACATCTCCTAAGGGCTACGATGTTGAAGTTGTTACCACATAAGAAGCCCCAAACATTCCTCTGAAAATTGTAAGACACTGAAGCGCAAAATCCAAACCCTGATGGATTCAGGGGCATGGACAGCCGAAGAAGGGGACATTGCATATATCATTTGCACTTAAAGGATTGTTTTGTTTGAAAACATCTTTCATCTTTCATGTTTACTCAATATTTTAAATGATTGAACTTATGCTACTTTCTAAGGTGGAGCAATTGAACAAATTTTAATCTTTAGTTCTTCGAATATTAGATGAATTAAATATTCTTTTAATTCTACAAGAATTATAGATTTTTGACATATGACAAGATTAGACCTTTCTTATCCTGTCTCAAACCCCAAAATAAAATACCTCGATTCTTTACCCAAAATAACTCATTGTCATTACCAAAAAAAACCAAATTTTGACATTACCTCCCTTTGAAATTCTTGAACATTGCCTTTATCTTTTTGATACACCCATACCTTTCTTTGAGTCAATAAGATCACACCACTGTCTTTTTAGACTCAAAATTGACATTTTAACCCAAGGCATTGAGTTGTTCATCTGAACATGAGCGTTATTCTAAAGACACAACTTGGGGCATCTCGCGGGGAGCTTGAACATTGAGACATCTGGGGAAAAAAGAAGAAGAATTCATCCGAAACAATTCTATCACGCGTTAATTACACTGTTTTCATGTGAATAGAATTAATCCTGAAAATCTATCCCCTTGGGGATACCTTTTCTGTGAGGACTTCCATGTATGAAATGATGAACGACTTTCTTTCTTTATCCCTTCACAACAGGAGAAAATATATATCCCTTGTGTCCCATTTTGAGCCTATAGTATTTTTCTTCTGATTCAACCCTAACCAAGGATCACCCTCCACACTGGGGGGCAATGTGGAAGAAATATGCTCACATGAGTGAAGACATCAATCCAAAGGAGATACCAAAAGGTGAACCAGATGCCAAGTGCGAAGATTCAATCAGAACAAAAAGGGCAAAAAGAAAAAAAATAAGCAAAAAACAAAAGCAAAAAAAGAACAAAAAGAAAAAAGAAAAAGGGACAAAAAACACATGCAAAGA